TTTGAGTTTCATCTACCCTCTTACATTTGCATGTCCTGTTATTTAAATGAGTGTTTTATGAACCAGTAGAGAAGAAACTACGATCTGAAAGTAGGAAGATATGTTTCTTTAAGGGCCACTGGGTGAAGGAAATGTGCCTGAAAGACGTGCAGCCTAATCTAATTAGATTTCAAAATGGAGGATCACTATAGGGCAGAGTGGCACATGGTAAGGGAGCCATAACCTCCTCTTAGACAAGTCGTAGTCAAAACCCCTGTGTCTGCATAGTCCTCCTTTAAAGGTTTTGGGGTTTTTTTAATACACAGATGATTCAATGAAGTATGGGTCTGGGACAGTAATGATCTCGAGACAGAAATTTCCCAACCACAAGTGTAGCAGAGACTTTGGTTCTGTCTCCTTCTCTCTCTGCTTGTCATGCAAATTGACCACCTGTAGTCTGAGGAGGATCCAACGTCCTTGAGTTGAGCAGTGCACATTCTGTCTCTACTGAAACAATTTCCACGCAGTTATCAGGAGTTTATATTTAGTGCAGCCTGTGAAGGTGGACAGAAATGGCTGCTTGAACTCACGAGCTGCCTGGAGAGTCAGCGAGCAATGGTTACTGAAGCCACTAAATGTGTGTCCTGCCAGTAGTGTAGTGGTTTTGATGAAATTAGTTCTGTCCTATGATCATGGTTGTTTTCAGCTCCTTTACTCCTCCCTGGAAAATTGTTTCAACTCTCAGTAAGAGCAGCCTGCAATGGTCTTAACCTCAGCTGTGCAACCTCATAGCTGCAGATTTGGGTGTCTGTGGCTGTTCCTGTTGCATCACTTCTGCTTTTTATCAGTGTACTTGCTCACACCACAGCCATCTACTGCTGTATCACCCACGTAGGTCTCTTCCTTGTTTTGCTTTCCTGAGCAGATGTAAGTTGCTGGCCTCTGTCAGTCCAGGAAGGTTTGACTCTATATTGGGAGTGTGTTAGGCCAGTGCTGTCTTCTCTTTTTTTTTTTTTTTTTTCCCTTTTGGAAGTTGCATCTCTTATTTCTACTCTGAGATGCACCTGGAGAAGTTCGTTATCTACCAATAACTGCATGAAAGGTCAGTAGCTTGAAAGCCCTGCTTCAGAGTTCCCCAGACTGTGCTGTGTTGTGCACTCTGCTTGGCACAGGGACTCCCCGCAGCTCCCCTGCCCTCTGAGCCACTTGTTGGCTTCTATAACCAGCTGATCCTAGCTGATCAGGCTTAGCTGGGAGAGAGGCATCTTTTACTGGCAGAGTTGGTTCTACAACCCACTTGCCTGAAAGGCTGGGAGGAAGGGAGGAGAGGCAACAGAATTCTGCTTTAGGAGTATGTAAATAGAAACATAAAGGCGTTTCCAAAAGCAGTAAGAGGGAAAAATTAACCCATACATAGCAAAGGTGCTCATGTTGTGGTATTGGTTATAGCAGATTTCTTTTGCCAAAAATACGGTAGTCTATAATTATGTTTATCTAGTTGTCATCACAAGTGTTGTATCTTTAGAAGTGCCATCATACATGCTTAATCTCTGTCATGAAGCTATTCTGGGTAGAAATGGAATTACTTCAGATGTAACAATTTAATCCTCAGCACAGAGCTTACTAGCTAGGGACAGGTAGATGACTTCAGTGAAGCACTATGTCTTTGTAAGTCCATCTGTGGAAGTCATCTGGCTTTGCTATTGTGTATTTATGCAGATGGCATTTTCCTTGACTCTGCTAGAAGTCGTGTTTAAGCAGCTGCAAAAATTGATTTTAAGTTTAACCAGTAGAAATGCTTCCTGTAAATGTCAGGAAGTGAGCTTCTGTATGTAGCAAAAAATGTTTTCACCTGCCATTCGTATGTTGGCTGTTTTGTTACTGAGTAGTGGCAGCTACTGCTCTCTCACAGGAAGCTTAGTGCTGTCGCATGGCTTGCTACGTGATGCAGTCTGCAAAGTGTATTTTCAGACTAAGCCTGGGGATGCTAATAAGGGACCAGTGAAAAAACGGCCTATTGTATGCTTATTTGTTTTAAACTGATGATATTTGTGTGTGGTAATTCAAGACAGTTTTTTGAGAAAGTTCAGACTGAAGAGCTGCAGGATCAGAAGTTAGAGATATAAAGCCCCTACCTCCTTTCTACTGCCTGAGTTGTCCCTTTCCCCCCAGCTTCTATCTTTCTCTCTGTGTTGAACAGTGGGCAGGCTCTGAAAGTGGAGCGTACATTGAGAACCTTCTCTGCAGTGCAAAGGATTGATGTGTCTCATGTCGCTCTGGTGATTCCCTGAGGGGAGCTGCGATCCTGGCAACCAGCCCACCAGCAGTAAATTTGCTTCCTGGTATAAGTGAGTGTTGAGTGGAACGGGTTGGTCATCACCACTGCCGCAGTAACCTTGTGGGCAAGGTAAAGCACAGCTTTTGTAGCTGGTAAAGCAGGGTAAAGGGAAACTGGCTTCTGGAATCACTTTTATGTGGCAAATGAAACAGTGCATCATATTTGTGCTATAGACTAGAGTGGATTTCATTCTTGCAGTGTACTTGCCATAGAAATGACTTCCTTGTAGATGGTTGAACTTCACAGGGCTGAAATGTGCACCGTTTTAACCTCAGACTCAGCAGCCCACCAGTTTCAATACTCTCTGTCTCTGTCCATAACTTCCTTAGCTTACTCTTTAAAAGCGCCAGAACCATTTTGAAAACTTTAAAACTGTTTACATTTTTCCTCAACTGATTTTCCTTCTAGCTTATAATTAAATGTTGCTGTGGTTTGCTGCTGTTCCTGTTTTTTTTTTTTTTTTTTCCTCTGCATTGATTTAATGGGATTTTGTAATAAAATGAGAGGGAATTGAAAGAATCTCTGATCAAAACCAAATTTTCATCTTATTTGGGAATGAAGAGAGAAAAGAAGTTATGTTGGTGTATTAGAATCTCTTTCTGCAGGACTTTCAGGGGAGAATAAGTTTTAAGAGAGAAATCCTGTTGATAAATCAGGCTTTCAAAAACAACCAAACAACACCCTTCCCAAAACCCCAACTTCTCTAAGAGAGCTTGAGAATTATGTTCTTGCTCTATGTAGAAATACTGATCTTTCAATATCTAAACTTGCGAATTGTATTGTAATAGTAGCTGTTAGAGACTGCTTTGAGGGGACCTGTAGTTTGTATGCGCAGTGTTAAACATATAAATTAGTGAAATGTTTGAATGTCTCTGACCTATTTAAGCTGTTTGGGTTTTCTCTTCTCTGTATGTAACTTTCTAAAAGTCTTCAAGGATGATATACTAGAGCAGCTCACACTAATACAATTGTACTGGGGGATGTGCCAGAATCTTCTTTGGATATTAGAGCCCATTTGTGCTGATCACTTTCAAAAGGCATTTTATTTATTAGACCTAGTAAGGTGTTCTGATATTAATTAAAACACCTTCCCTGCTGCCCCCTTTAAAGGAAAGGATGCATACTGTATGTGTGTTGCTCTCTGATGAGCCAAAAGCTAGCTGATTTGCAGTGAAGAAAACTTAACAGTAATTGATCACTCTCTGCTGTATGTGGATTCATTATATTTGAAGGCTAAGCCAGAAACTGCCTCTAAAATATCCTGTGTAGGTTAACCTTTGGTGTTGGTACTCAGATTGAGGAGAATCCCTCCTGTGCCAGAACACCAGCCTGGAAGGGTGATTGACACCTCTGCTTTTCAAGAGAAGTGTCAAAATTGCAGAGCATTGCTCAGAGGGTATGAAACCTTCACTTCTCCATCTGCTGCCGCATATGCCGCTGGTGAGCCAGTGGCCATATGTGTGATCATCCTGAAAGCTTTAAAGTCAGCTTCTCTCCAAGGGCCCCTCACTCCTTTTGGAAGCCTGAAAAGGGCATGCTGCTTGCTTCAGGAGAAGGAGGCTCCTGTTTTCCCCTTAGGAAAATTGAGTAGTGTCTTTATAAGGCTAAAGCCTTATTGCAAAGAACTGTGTGATCCTGAAATGCTGCAAACTGGTTCTGTGATGTGCAATGAAAGTGTGCTGGAGACTCATTGCAGGCTTTGCCCTGGTATATGAGTAAACTACAAAACTATACAGGCTTACTAACAGAGATCTGTTATACACTTCATGGATATGGACAGCAAGGTTGTAAGATGAGGGGTTGTGTCTTCGGGTAAGCATGTGAGAGATAGAAAGAGCAGTTTGCTAGGTTTACTTTTCATTTCATTAGCTGTGAGAACCTTCATCTCAAGTCTGTTTCTGGTTTCCTGTCTTGCAGGGCTTGCACGGGTCTGAGACTTTAAACGCTGACATTTAAGTGTGACAATGAAATGTTTAGCAACAAAGGATATCTTTAAGCAGGCTGGACAAAAATTCCTTTCAGCTGCATGGCTTTTACTTTCACTTGGATGACCCGTTTGCCCAGTTTTCAGTTTGCTGTACTTTCTGAAATGGAGGAGGTTACCTTATTGAATACTTTTTAAGCACTGTAATTTTTAGTACTAATGCTGAATCAAGAGGATGTGTGGGGTGATAAGACAATAAAACATACCCATAAATTTGGCATTGTAGAAATAAATTTCCTTTCTCCTATACTTATTCAGGAAGTATGCAGTATTGGAATCTCTGATATGTGTGTGTATCTGATGGCTGGGCTTGATGTGGTGTTAATGTGTGTATTTTAGGTAACTTTTGGGGAATTTCTGTCCCATTGTAAAAAAACCCAACAACAAAGCTTGAGTGCTGCTGAAAAATTATTTTGGTAACACTCTCTGCTATGCTTGAAACTGTTCTCTTATACTTGAGAGTTTTAAATGGAATATGAGAGGGTAGTTTGCATATTCTTTGATTCTGAGTAACTTGTGCAGTATATCTCAGACCCAGGTCTGAATTTCGTGGGTAATGTCTGTACCTGAAGCACAGCTGTGTGCCTGTGTCCTAAAAACAGTAGAGCTACTTCTACCCCTCAAGCCTTCTACTCTTTTACATGAGAGTCCATTCTCACCCCTATATATTCACAGCTAATACTTACTCTTTTTGTGCAGTCCTAGGTGTGTGAATCAACCTGTCCTCACTGAATCATCAGTTTAATCTCGCTAACTTGACAACCGTTGGATGCCAGCCTGTGTCAACACCAGGTAAGATGAAAGCTGATGTGTTACTTTGTTTTTCCTGAGTCTTTGCTTTTTAAACCTGCATTTTGTCCAAATGCCATGACTCTTCTGTAAACTAGTGTCAGAATGTGCTGCCTTCCTTGTTCTCCTACAGCGAGACAGCTACTTGTTAGCATCACTAGCTTTCGAAACAGGAAGTATTCTAAAATGGACTCAGGGTCTGACTCCTTTTTAGCCATGTGTTAGTATTTTTCCTGACACCTCTGTTAGCCTGGGTTTTGTGGTGGTCAGATACAACAAGTTGTGGGTTTTTTCCTTGTATTCTTCGCTCCCTTACGTCTCCCTGGTTTAGCTGTAGAAACTGTTGAAGTCCTCCCTGCCTTCCAGAGTTAAGCATGCATGATAAGTCACCTGTAGTATCTGACCTTTTCTCTTGAACAGAAAATAGGTTTTGTTTTGATTTGATTTTTTTTCCCATACCTGCTCCCAAATGTTACCTTTTAAAACCTATCACAGAGGGATCTTATTTGTGTACTTTATGTTTTAGTTGTGAGAAAAAAAAAATAACCCATATATGTTTTCCAGAGAATTAAACAGAAGAAGTTTTGGACCTCATCCTCCTTTAGAGAAGGGATGTAGATTGGAGGGGGGTGAAGTGGGGAGGAAATCCCTTTAATGCTTTAAAAGAAGTTATTATCCACTGCTCTGGGGGAGTCCTAGTGCTGACAAACTAATGTGAGCCTTTGTTCTGATGCTAATCAAGATAGGGATAATTCTTCTGACTACGCCCTGTTCCCCTCAGATCCCTCTAGCAGTGATAAGGCATTAAGCTCCTTTGCTACCTCTCTTTTTCCTATACCCACCTCTTGGCCTTGTTTTCTGTAACTGCTACCTTGAGTGCAAAGGCTCTAATTTTAAGAGGGTCTCCTTAGGAATGATAATTTAAATATTTTGAGATTTTTTTTTTTTTGAGTGCTCCTGGGTGGTATTTGTACACTTCAGTTTAATAGATATCTTGGTGGCTCTGTGTGTGTTTATTTTTTGTATCATTACGTAAACCCCCCAATTTTCTGTTGATGCAAGACACGTTGGACTTGAATATAGTGGCATCTTTTGGTACATGTTGGGACATGTCACTGAAAATTAGAAGTGATTTTTCATTCTGTCTCTTCTTGGCCAAAGCAAAGAAATATTGCTTCTCAGATGCTTTTGAGAACTCCTTAAGAGACCAACTTCTGATCACTAGCCTAAAGAGCTCTGTAAATTTCCTAGGGTGTGTGCAACCTACATATTGTTTTGATTTATGCAGATGATCTGTTCTTAGTATAAAGATAATCTGCACAGCAGCAGGGAGATGAGCTTGAAGCTTAGGTGTGTAGTGAAATATGACTCTGCGTGTGATATAACAAAAAATAGTTCCTCTTCACTAAATCTTGTGTGACTGTGGGGAAGAGGTGGTGGTGAAAATATGATTAGGTCTGATGTGAAATGCTTGCATCAGACAAAGCTGTTAAAAAATGTCATGCAGATCAAGAAGAGAAGGGAAGAAGTGTTCTGAGTTAGCCTCTTTAGCCTTCTCTTAGCAGTAAGAAGCTGATGAGAAGCTCATCCTTGTCCTTCTAAAAGCAGGTGTGCTAATATAGCAGTGTGGTTTGTGATAGTGGGCTCTCTGAGGATAGATGGTGGCAATCTCCTGTGGATAATCTGTCCTGGGTCTGGCTGATCTGGTCTTCTGATGAATTTGTAAGGAGTTTGCCGTCTTTCATTAAGGGTTATTCTCTATGCAGGGTGGTTTGAGTCCCTCTTTGGTATCAGTACAGAATAGAGGGATAGGAGGGATTTAGACAACTTAAAGATCTTCCCTAGAAGACAGAGACTGTGTCTCTGCAGCTAGCATATATGTATTGGCACAGTGCTCTCATGTTTCATTTTGATGGAGAGTGTTTTTTCCTAATGCAGAATTGTGAAAAACAGTGATAATATAAAAAGCTAATCTCTTTGCAAACAGCACAATTTTTACCTATGTAAACATATAGTATGTCTAAATAAACTGAGCTCAAAAATGTATGCAAAAAGGTAATGGTGTGGAGAGAGTAAGGCTCCATCAGAAGATGCTCATCTGAGGAGACTGACTTGAAGTGGTTTTTGCTAGTGACTGTGCACAGATGGGGAGTGTGCATTTCAAAGGTAATCCAGTGTAGCTTCTTGATGTGAACCTGTGTGAAAACATTAGCTGTAGGAAGGGATTTATCAGCACTTTCTAATAGTTCCTGTGTTTTTTAAGGTTGATTCTGTTGACAATATCCTGAAAAGACATCACTACCAGATGCAATGTGACACATTTTATGTGGGTAAAATTATGGGCTAGGCGTAAGTGCCTTTGCCTAGCACTATTAACCCAACAAATGTTAAATCCCAGAAATGCTCATTTTCAGAGTAAAAACTGCTCTCATGACCTGAAAATAAAAGAAAGATGTAGGTGGTGTTGGTTTTATCTGTTCTCTACCCTGATTTGGTTATGCAGGGCATTTCCTGCAAATGGGTGCCCTGTACTTAGTTATCATATTCTATCGCTTTTCAACGTCCTGATCATCTTCTGTGGTTTGGAACAATCATAGCGAAATGTGTGTGTGAGAGAGCCTGCAACAAGTAGCAGTAGAGAACATGGGATTCTTCTCCCCTGTTATTTTAATCCTGTGAAGTGAAAACAGAAGGAAGATGGCAGAAGCATTTCTGAATGGCTCCCGTGCAAAGCTTCCTCGTAAAGCTTTGAATGCTTTTTTCGCTTGCCTGATTGAACCATTTGCAGTGTGGAAGGCCTAAATCCCAAGTGCTTGTAGCAGTGGTATCTGCTCTGGGGTTAGCCAGCATTTACCTGCATCCCTTCACATATATCATATGCTTTTACTTTCTTAGTTTTGTAGTGGTTTTTTGAGTTTGGGGGTTTTTTTTGGTCCAGGGTGGTATATCCTTTTCAAACTCCAGAGACATATGGCACTTTTGATATTAAAAATTAAGGAAATGGTTTAGAATATTTAAAATGGATTTTTTTTTTCTCTGCAAATACTTTCTTTCTTGTCCACTGGTAGGAGGCCAGAGGGAACAACTTCTGCCTATTTCTTTGTGTATGACCTGAGGTGTTGTGGTGTGACAGTAGTTTGGGTTTTTAGTGGGGAATTTTGGTGTTTCATTTAAAGTAACTTGTAGACCAGCTTAGCTCTTGTGAGTCTTTCGTTTAATCTCTGGTAGAGAGGAAGGAATATAGGTTTTCAGCAGCCACCATGTCCTGGAGATAATATATTGTTTCATTTAAGTGATGACAATCACTTCTTCCCACCTCCCCCCCAACATTTTGTGGAATGGACACTTGTTAATTTTAGTTTTTCATTTGTATTTATCCCTTATTGTGAAGACAGAGTTTTGATTAGCATAGCTTAGTCATCAACTAACGTATTACAAAAAAGCTCTTTGACTTTTGACGTGACAAACCATTTGCTGTGTGTGAGGGGAAGAGATTCTTCCCTACCCCCTCCCGCCACATAGCCTTGTGCACTGTGGCTGATTCCCTTCTGACTCGGTTACCTTAACAGCCAGTTGTGCTTACAGGTAGACCTGAGCATCTTGGGGAGTGCTTGTGTCAGATTAGTAGGTGATCAGATATCTCACCTAACCTTGGAGGGCGGGTTGGAATCCAGCACTACTTGAGTGTTATTTTCCCTGTGACTGTAGTAGAGGATCATGCACTGACCATATGCTCCTAAAACATATGTTCCAGTGACCCAAGCTGGGTTCAACTGGAATGTATAGATTGAGGTATTTCTTCTTTACAATGATGGATCCTTCAGATGAAAATGAAGGCATGCTTGTGGGAAAGGGTGTTGCCTATGTCCTTGGCAAACAGTGTCTGTTTAAGGAAATTGGCAGTATAACTGGTATGCTATCACATGTGCTGAAGTCCTCACTTCTCTTTGCCTTTCTAACAGGAAGGACTCTGCAGTTCATGACAGAAAGTAGTCTTCTGTAGTTAAACAAATCTGGTTTAAGAGTAGCAAGAAAAGGCATCTATTTGTGGTGGGCATTAGAACTGTTGATAGGTAACTTAGTTCTGGGGCAGGTAGAGTGGCAGTTTTATGGCAGCGAGAGCCTGGGTTGAACCCATCAGTATGAAATATTCATCTGAAAAAGAATTTGCTACGTCAGATCTACTGTTTGAGAGGTATGTCACCTGAAGATAGCCTTGTTGCAGTATAGGTTGGAATCTGTCAGTACTTCTTTAAGTTTTAAATGATTCACAGAAAAATCTAGATTTTTCAGAATGATTTGTGTTGTGTTTTTTTTTAATTTTTAATCTAGAAGCAGGATGCCTTTCATGAAGTGTGAGGCAGCACGGGAAGCTGGGAAAGGATATGTGTATTGTACTTTCAGGAGTTTTGGAAGGGCCTGAATAATGAAGTTGGAAGAAATTGAAGCATTTGAGTGACTGAATGTTTAGAGTTGGTACCAATAGATTTCTGACCTCTGGCAGTATGGCTGAGAAAATAGTCCTGGTTACCCCTTGTAAGTTGATCTCTGTTACCTTGGTTGACATGTGTACCTGTTCCACCATCTCCAGCTGTGTACTGGTATGTTGGTTGGTGCTGGCAAAGTGAGGACTTGAGTCAGAAATACTGCTTTTTACAGAATGATGAGCAGGCTGCAGCCTCTCCAAGCATTGCTCCAGACAAGCATAGCTGAATTTGAGACGTAATAAGATTAATTTTTTTTTCTCTGAGGTACTTGGTGACAAGCAACTGTACATGGTAAAGCAAGCTGGTGTTTTATAGTCCTCCTGCATTGTGCATTTAGTTGCAGCATAACCGATTCCTGCTGTGTCAGGCATACATTGATTTTGGTTTTTTATGCCAACATTGATTTTGGTTTCTCGTGCCAATTGTTTAACAGGCTCCCAGTATGTAGGGGAGTTTTGCACCCTCTTTCTACTTTTGGCACCTCCCACTGACTTTTCAATTTGTTTAATTCCCATG